CCCCGAGCTTCTACGGCCTTTGGAAATTGTGAAACCACCGAATCTATAAAAAAAACTACAAGATATTTTTGAGTTGAATTATATTCAGGTTCCAAGACACTTCTGCTGCCTCACGTGTACAATCAGTAATAATACATTTAATTAATGATGTGATGAGTCATTTCTGAGATATTTTAATCCACAGAACTCAATATTTTCTACTTGAGTAGAAATATTCAGCAGTTGAAAGTACATTTAATGTTATAACACCATATTTATCAGTCATAGTTACTTTGAAACTGATAAGTATTTGTACTTTTACTGAAGTCTAATAGATTTTTACTCCTTCCTTAATATGTTGGTACTTATACAAAGTTGAACTAACCCTAACCCTGCTGACAAATAAACAAACAGGAGCAAAACGTCCTCATTGGTGGAAGTAAAAATGACACCCCAGTATATTCTATGGGCGTTTTGATGAGCTCACTCAAATAATTTTAGCATCAGATGTCGTCATTTAGCAGAAATTCCTGCAGACGTATTTAGTGCTGCGGTCAGCACTAATGAGAAATATTTTGGGCGCAGTATCACTTCGGAGGACTCTGCTGTTCCTCCTCAGAATAGAGACTCTCCATTGTCCCTGGGTCTCTGAAACACTCTTCATGCTCGTAATTGTATAAACACAGCATCTGTTTCCCTATCCACCCCCCACGGCTCAGGGTGCAGAGCGTATTGAATTCAGACAATGGGCCTCAGTTTGAAGAGTGGGAGTTCAGCATATTTATGCCATGATGTTTGAACCCCTGGAAATATGGACAGCGTGGACTTTTACCTGGAACCACATGTGCCCCGACAACATTTTTCTTTCATCGTTTGTCTCCTCGATAGATGATACAGGAAGCTCAGAACATCTCAAGAGTTTTAAATTCAGGTTCAGAATGCGTACAAACGATAAATCCTGAACCTTAATCAGTGATAGCTTCACCTCACAGAGACTTTGACATAATTAATTGACACATTACTCCATTCTTCACTAAATCTTATGCATGTGAGACAAATATAAAATCCAGAACAGATCCTGTAGACTAATATGTTTCTCTCTCCTTGTTCTCTTGATAGGACTTTGTTCATCACTTCTGCGTGCTGCTCCCAGAGAGCACCAGTGCCACCAGAGAGGGAATCCAGCAGAGTCTGGACCAGCTGGACCTGCAGCCAGAGGGATACCAAGTGGGAAAGACGATGGTATTCACCCTGCAGCCGCTCCTGTCCTCTGACATCAAATGATTAACAATTACACTCAAGTACATCATGACTGATATGGATGTTTGGGGGCCAATACCATTATTATGTGGTAAAATATTTCAGATACATATAATACAAATCTTGAAGAGGGAGACATGGGGGAAAAAGTGGTGCAGGACTTTATAAAATAAAATGAAATAAATTAAAATGCACATTGGATTCTTTAATAAAACTGTATCATTTATCCCAACGCTTCCTTTACTGTCACCAAACTTTCACACAGAGTTTATGGTTATTTTTATAAATAATATAATATGAGACACACAATATAGAAAACATGTTTTACAGCTAACTCATCTGGGAGGTGAGGAGAACGTGAGAGTTCAATAGGTTAAATAAAGTCACGATGCATCATCCAGGTTTAAAATGAAAAAGTAGAGCAAAACAGTGATTTAGTGATTTTCTTCTACAATGTCATAGTTAAGTTAAATTGGCAAAAAGAAAATGTTTTTGCTCATTGAATGTATTATTATTGTCTGTGATTACATGTTTCATATGAGTCTGTGTGTTGCTGCATGAGGAGGCCTGGAGAGTCTTGTCAATGATGTTAAGTTGCTCAAACTTTAATTTTCTATGTTAAATTACACAGACTATAAATAGAGTCAGGATGGGAGAGATACCTCATATTACCTGAACGCATCCTGTCATCAGAAGGATGTAATAAAGTCGCTGCCTCACATTCAGTGTGGGTCCGTCTGGTATGAATGAGGCTTGATGTTGGGTCAAGGCCTTAGTGATGCTGTCTATATAATTAGAGCATCATACCTTACATTCCTGTGACCACCAGATTTCTGTGGTTTGTGTGTGAGTAACAGTGAGTGGTATTTTTTTTTCTGAAAGAATGTGTGTATCTCTGTGTGAGCAGCCGGACAGGCTTCGTTAAAAGTGTGTGTTGTCCTGTGCTGACTCCATCGTGGTCCCTCCCTTCAGGTGTTTCTCCGGGAGGCCGAGCGTCAGCGGCTGCAGGCCTTACTCCATGAGGAAGTTCTCCGACTCATCGTCATGCTGCAGCGGCGATTCAGAGCCCGGCTGGAGAGGAGGCAGTTTGTCAGGATGAGGGAAGCAGCGATCTGCATCCAGGTACAGTGCTTTCCATTAATAATGCTTTTCTTTTCATTTTTCTTTTCCTGTGATTTAAATCTATTTTTATTCTTTTCGGATATGCTATTCAATCAATTTCTTTTGACTTAGAACAGTGCATTTCTAAATTTAAGTCGAAGAGATCAAAAGGTGTTATCGATATATCAATGATGTTTTTCTTTTTCTTTCCTAAAGTGGAAATTATTATGAAGTTTAATCTGACGGTTGTTGGCATCACTAACATTTGAAAAAAATACAATTCAAACAAATGTTGAAGTCACTCTTTTTCAGTTCCCTAAAAGAAAATTAATATTGCCCTCAATTTTCTCACTTTCCCTCAAAAAAGGCTGTGACTTAAATATGAAATTAACCTTTTAGCATCTTGAAAAACACATGATTATAATTCTCTTTTCAGAAATGGTGGCGTTTGTACCAGCTCATAGAAGCAGAGGAGGAGTATGACCCTGATGTGCAGGAGGGGGCAGCTCTGTGTCTGCAGACGCACTGGAGAGGGTTCAGGGAGCGTCAGAGGTTCAGGCTGTGGAGGGAGGCTGCTCTGGTGCTGCAGCGGGCCTGGAGGTTATGGCTCCGCCGGCGATGCACAGCAGCTGTGGTCATTCAGACAGCCTGGCGCTGTCATCAAGCCAGAGACGCCTACCTGCGTCTGTACGATGCTGTGGTGCGACTACAGGCAGTCTGCAGGGGCCACCTCGCCAGGCAGAGGTAAACCTTACTGTGAAACACCAGTTATCACATCCTGAGCAGCAGCACCAGCTATTTCTTCTGCTGCGAGAAAACTAAAGCAAACATCTAAGCATTTTTATAGAGGCGCAGTGTTCTGAAAATGGCTCGGGAGGGGAACTGCCTTATTTTTATCAAGCTGGTGGAAAAGTTTAATCTTTGCACACAGATTCTGCAGCGTATTTGCTCATTGTGCAGTGTGGTAACAGACCAGGCTTGGTAAGAGGATGCCATTACGCAAGCAGTCCAACCCCAAGCCGCTCTTTAATCAGCTGAGCTGCTTGGAACAAGAGTTTTTATATCACACTCACTAACTTTGGTTCGAAAATGCATCTTGAAGTTTGGGCTACGAAGCAGTTTGAGATGAGCTTAATCGTGTTTTTTTGATTGACAGCTTCAAAAAGCTGAGAGAAGAGAGACTGAGGGAGAAGGAGGAGCAACAGCAGCAGCAGGAGAAGCTGCTTCAGCTGCAGAACGATCTGATGAGTCTCTCACCTGAGGAAGAGGAGGAGCCGTCTGAGAGAACCATGGGGTCGGACCTCAGCACGTGGGAGGATCGTTCCTACGAGCAACGAGAACAGAGCCTCAGCAGCCACGAGACCTCAGTCGGGGAGGAAGCAAGAGGAATAGAACACGCTGAGACAAATGATCACTCGTCAACACTGATAACTGAGGCTTCGGTTTCAATCCCAGCGTCCACCGTGGTGGTTCGAGAGAGGGCGAGAACATTAGAGGAGCCCAGTCAGAAAACCACTCGGGCCAAGAGAGAGAGCCGGCGGATGAGAGAGCTGGAGCAGGCCAAGTTCAGCCTGGAGCTCCTCAAGGTCCGAGCGACCAGCGGCGGAGCCTCGTCCCCGTCGGAGGAACGCCGTTGGTCTGTTGAGCTGGTGCCCCCAGCAACCCCACCCCTTTGTTCACCCCAGGGCACCCCCGACAGCCAGAGCTCCAAGGGCAGCTTTGAGCTTCTCAATATGGACGAGGAGCCACCCAAAGCTGTAGAAGAGGTGACGGACAGTGACGACCCCTGCTCTCCTCCTCCGTCAGTACCTGAGCCTGATGTGGAAGCCGTTCCAACAAGCCTGCAGCCTGAAGAGCCACAGGGAGGAGAGGTTCCTGATGTTGCTCAACCAGGCAGCCAGGGAAAGAACAAAATGGATCTGGCAGCTGCCTCTGCCCCCACACATCCGCCCAAAATCGAGAACTACCTCCCCACCTTTTACGTCCCTGCTAGTGAGGGCAGCACAGTCATCTCCCATCGTCCTGCTGAAGAGCCTCAACTGAACACGGAGCTGGCAGCGTCCACAGCCAAACCTGCTGTTACAAAGCCCAGAGAGCGGCAAGAACCAATGCGTCGACCCGTGGTTGTGGTCATCAGTATGCAGAAAGAAACGCCACTAAGCGAAGAGCTGAGTGACATTTTCCGTCCCCCTGTGGAGGTTCGAGATTCTGTCGCCCCGGCAGGGGAGTTGACACCATTGGCACAAAAACCAGAACCAGCAACTGTGCCTCAAGGTCCCGTCCCGGCTTCTACCTCTGTCCCCCAGGCCGACCCGGCTGTCATCGAGAAACTGGTGCGACTGAACGAGGAGAAAGAGGAGAGGCAGCGTAACCGGCGGCAACAGAACGAGAAGGAGATGATGGAGCAGATAAGACAACAGAAAGAGGTGCTGGAGCGCCAGCGGCTTAACTTCGCTCAGTACGAGAGAGACATGTTTGAGAAACAACGAGAAGAGGCTCTGCACAGGATACAGCTGAGTCGACAGGGCGGACAAGATGTTGGTGGAACCGAAACCTCCGGCAAACCCCTTAGACCCAGTTCACTCGCTCCTCACACCCGAACTCAGTCAGTGTCCACTGCCCCATCAGTTCACTCCCACGCGGGTGTAGACATCCAAGGCAGCACCCCTTACCCCAAGCTGCCTCCTCCACCTGCATCTGCTCACAGGGAGAAACACATGGAGAGCAGACCGGCGGCTGAGGGCTGGGCACCAAAACTCACGCTGGAGTTGAGAGACGGAGGAGGAGGAGGCAGAGCGAGGACGACGGCCAGGAAACCTCCGAGTCATCAAGGCAAAGTTGACATGACAGACAAGACGGGCAACATCTTCTTCTCTCCAAGAGACAAAGTTACATTTGCAAAGTGAGTGATGACTCACTACATCTGTGTTTTTGTTGTAATTTGAAATCAGCATCAGAACTAGAAATAGAGAAGAGAAAAAGACAAGCTAGCATAAGATAATCAAAGACATTTTTGAAAATATCTAGTTTCTAAAATCAAATCAATAAATAAGAACCATAAACAGAAAAGAACACAATAATAACTTTTTGACATAAGATTTGAGATTCAATTTAGTTTAGTACCAAGTATAGAATTTAAAGACTTTTCACTTTTGCGCCCCCTAGTGGTGATAACATGAAGCCACCCCTGCACACCATGGACCTGATTTAATTGGGAGTGGCTCATTTTTCCAAAAACATAAACATTTTAGAGATCCTATCACCATAAAAACATTCTTTATGTCATAGCTTTAACTGAGTATTTATAATAAGAATAATGATAATATCAATACACTTTTATTAACAACGCACCTTTCAAACCCAGTTACAAGATGCTCAAGTTAATAATGAAAAATGTAAAATTAAGATTCATTATGTTATGATAATAATATATTTAATTATATCGCACTTCTCAAGTTTATAAAGTTCTTTACAAATAAAATACACACAAGTAAGAACACATAAATATAAAAATGGTCATAGAAAATAAAAATGTTACTAAAGAAAACATTATTAGTATTTGTGTCTGTGTTGCCACTTGATATCTACATTTTCATTTATTACTTTCCATCAATAACAATGGTTCTTTTGTTTTTATATTTGTTCATCAGGTTTGACAAAGACACTGTTACCGTAGAAACACCTGTGGCCATACCCAGAGAAGCAACCGTCCCCGTCTCCAAGACGTCTAAAGGAACAAAAGCCCGGGATGTAAGTCATCGCTTCTTTCTCTCTATAAAATAAAAGCATGTGTTTGCATCTGTGCAGAAGTGTTTGTTTGTGTTGAATTAATGAACATTGTGAGAAAAGCTGCCACTCACACACGTGGAGAACGAAGCTGAGGCTGAAGCTCTTCTGTGGGTTCAGGCACCTTGTAAACATGCTGTCATCACCTCTGGTAAACTCCAGGTCGGCAGAGTGGGCCAAAAAAAGAAAGCCCGAATGGCAAGGACCCGCTCCGACTTCCTCACCCGCGCCCCCATCGTCTCGGTCGGGGGCGATTCTGACGAGGACGGCTACGACGGCGTCAGCTCCGTCAGTCACCGTCATTTCACCCTGCCCCTCTCCAAACAGAGCTCCGCGGAGGGAGGCTTACGAGAGTCCTGTTTCAGTGACTCGGACATGGTAACAGGCTCCGTCCAGGCCCCTGTGTGGCCCCTCTTCATTCTGACAGCGTCTCTTCTCTTTGACTTTTCTCTAACCTGCTTCAGCCGAGACAAGATAGATCTGCTTCACAACTCTGACTGAGCTTCAACTCATTTTCCAATAATGTAAAATAAACTCTGGAGAGGGTGGAAGACATTTCAAAGCTATTTCAAGATGGGGGATTTAAAGACATTAAAATAAATCTAAAACTATTGGGTTAAAATTCCAAATCACTATGAGCGGTGGAAGATCATTTACCTTCATGCATCATCACCTAATCAAAGCAGAACAGTTTTTGAAATGTGTTTCCTCCTGAAATTTCTCTAACGCAGCTTCTTCTCTAACACGGCTTCTCTTTCTCTCGCAGCTGTAACAGCGTTTTTCATCCTTCGTTTATTCTCTGTGGTTAATTAACAATATTTGCACGTTCTGTGGTTGTATTCTCTCTCTTATCTCGTTTCAACTATCAGTAGCCTGACCTGGAGAATCACAGAAACCGGTCTTCATTCACTCTTGACTTTCTTCATCACCTCTTTTCAAATTGTTTCCATCTTTCAGAGTTATGGACATTTTGTTTTCAGAATTATTACCTGTGGTGCTTTGTGGTATTTTGATTATTATAAACAGCAATTACACTTTCACTGATGCAGCTTCAGTGATGCGGTGCTGCCATCTACTGGTTCAAACTGATCTTCAGCTTTTCTTTGGCTTTGTTTTCACAAGTTCAACCTGATGTTGTTTCAGCCTGCGAGCTCCGAGGAACAGAAGAAGATGCACAAAACCATGTCGTCAGGAGATTTGGTCAAAGTGGACTCGATGCGCAAGAACTCACAAGATGGAAGGTTTGTTCCTCAGACAAGCGTCTCTGGCATCCATCGAAGGGACTTATAAATTAAAGCTGTTAATATTTTTTATCAGTAATCAACAAATCTTTATACTTTTTGTTCTTATTTTTGATCAGGGTTCGTGGTAAGATGCGTTTCTGGGGTAAGAACAAGTACGGGGACAAGAAGACGTCCAGAGAAAAACTGATCTGTGGCGGTGATTCCCTTGATGGAGACTATGGAGACACTGGGCCGCTGCTGGGAGAGGGTGTGTTATCCTAAAACAAATACTCTTTCATTTCCAACAACAATAATAAATCAGAGTTACAATTATGCAATGAGATTCAGTGATTATTCCCACAGAACCATCACTGACTGTAGTTCTCTTCCACACATCAGGTCAGGAGAACATGTCGCCCCCCTGCAGTCCTGACCTGACGCTGGATCGAGGCTTCAGGGACTTGAAGGAGAACAAGGAGCCGTCTCCCAAGGTGAAGCGAAGGCGCAGCGTCAAGATCAGCAGCGTGGCTCTGGAATCAGCTCAGTGTCAGAACGACGCGCTGCAGATCCTCACGTGCACCAACGACTACAGGAGCATGAACGACTTCCTCATGAAGAAGGTACGACTCTTCTCCTGGTACAGAAAAGAACACGTGTACATATTAATGCTAACACGACTGTGGTGTCACATTTTTAGATCAACGACCTGGACACGGACGACAGTAAGAAGGACACCATGGTGGACGTCGTGTTTAAAAAGGCTTTGAAGGAATTCCGTCTGAACATCTTCAACTCTTACTCCACTGCGCTCGCTGTAAGTGTTGAGCCATCATTTAAAATCAAATAATAAGACCATAAGTATAAATACCACTCATATTTTTACTCATACAAGGTGATTATAAATGAAAACTCATCATCAAATCTCTCTTTTCTTATTTTTTATTTTATTTTTTTGCATGTTGCACAGACATAAGACAACCAGACAATGTAACACAAGAGAACACGAGAACAGATGGGCTCAGACATGGAGAGATAAAAGAGGAAATAAACACAACTTACATTTAAAGCCAGCTTAATCTGCAGAATATTCAAAAATGCTGTGGGTTTGATGTCAAACACTAAAACACATGTGATACATTAGCTGAAAGAGTCACTGACTGAAATCATATGGACCATCCGTCTCTTAAAGGAAGGAAGAGAGGATGGTTTCCACTCCCTCGTAATAATTCTTTTGTCAATGATCATCTTTAGCATCAAAGATTGTTTCAGGGCTGAAGTTAGTTCGCAACAAATCACAGGACTTTGTACACGATGGCAGATAATGTAGCAGTTTCAAAAGACTTGATCCTCGACACTGGAACATTATTTCCTACGTTGATGGATGAATCTGCTCTGCTCTGCTTGTTGTCTTCCTCCGCAGATGGATGACGGTAAGAGTATCCGCTACAAAGACCTCTACGCTCTGTTTGAACACATCCTGGAGAAAACCATGCGTCAGGAGCAGAGGGACTGGAGAGAGTCTCCCGTCAAGGTGTGGGTCAACACCTTCAAAGTTTTCCTCGATGAGTTCATGACCGAGTACAAACCTCTGGACAGCACAACCAGCAGGGTACAGACGCACATTTAAACACATCTACATTCTACTATCTTTGTATTTATCATGATTCTAAAATGTCCCATGAATACTAAAAGATTATCTGTTGTCCTGCGTTATCTTTCTTTTCTGCAGCCTGCACCTAAACCTGAACGCAAGAAACGGAGGAAAAAGGATGCTGACATCGTGAGTCTCTGTTTATTCTCATCATTAAAATAGAAAGAAAACACTTTGCTCTAACACACCCAGTCCTCCACACCATCACACCTCCACTTACTCTTTGGAATAACAACATATAAATACACTAGTGAACAGAATAGGAAGAAAATTAACCAGACGATGTGAAAGTGAACTCTAAATGAACCTGCCCTCTGCTGCCCCCTGCAGGTGGAGGAACATAATGGCCACATCTTCAAGTCCACGCAGTACAGCATCCCCACGTACTGTGAATACTGCTCATCGCTCATCTGGATGATGGACCGGGCCTGTGTGTGCAAATGTGAGTGTGCATCACAACACCAGAGATTCACTGAACCAATATCATCTGTTTACATTGCACATATATCATTTCTATTTTTCATATTTACTTATTTATTCCATTTACTGGTGTTTACATTATTATTATCCACTTTGTTGCTGTAACACTGTCCCTCTACAATTTCCTCACAATCGTATCATTCATTCGACATAAACTGAAGCATCAACAACTTATTTATTTTGGATAATTCCCTATAATTTTTGGTAAAAAGCTTTTTAATTGTAAAGATTTGTGGCTTTTCCCTGTTCAACGTGATTGTACATTTGGGATTTTGTTTTGCTGATCGGACACAACAGGACATCTGACCTTATCAACTCTGCTCTGGTAACTTATCTTATGTTGTGGCAGAGTTTCGACCTAATGACTAGTTGGTTACTTGATGAAATATTAAAATAAATGTTGCAGTTTTAAAAATAAAGACACTGTTTAAATTGCAATAAGTGTTAAAAGTACACGTGAATAATTTTCTGCATTTTAGCCTTTATTTTGAAAGATATAGTGGAGAGACAGGAAATGGGGTGAGAGAGTAGGTACTTTTTATTTTGGTGCATGTCCCATCCACTAACTTGAAGAGAGAGATTTATAAACTATACTCAAGCCAGCCTCCAGGGGGCGATCAAGACACATATACAGACTAGATTCACTCCCTCACTCACTCACTCACTTTCTCACCCACTCACTCGCTCCCTCACCCACTTCCTCACCCACTCACTCCCTGTCCTTGTGTAAACAAGTCGCAGAATTTGAGCCGTGTGATTAAATCAAGTGAAAATAAAAATCTTTGTCTTGTCAAATCGTTGTGACCTCAAATGCACATTCACAGACATTCACGTGAATTTGTACACACACACACACACACACACACACACACACACACTGGCTGTCTGTGGCTGAGCTGGCCTCGGACACTGAGCCCCGCCCTCTCTCCCTCCCCAGCTCTAATCAGATTGTTTTCAACTGGACTCATGGGGTCTGCTGCTCGGCGTCTCCGGAGATTTTTCTCCACACACTTTGTCCTTGATTCACAGGATGTTTTCTTCGTGCCGGCCAAAGCTGCGTGTGATTACATTGATAACATTTTTTTCTTTTGTCCCAACTTCTGCTGAATAATGAGGAGGCACTGCCTTTCTGTTGACAATGGAAATGACCAGTTTGATTTCTCTGGCTGTGTTCATCCAGTGTGCCGGTACGCCTGCCACAGAAAGTGCTGCCAGAAGACGACCACCAAATGCAGCAAGAAGGTGAGTCGGCCATGTTGCGTGCCCGCACGCTAACGTCCCATGACATCAATTGTATCTCTGTTATTTCTGTCGCCTAATACACAGGAGGTGATGGGTCCTAATAGACCACACTTTTCCTTTGGGGTTTTAGTTTTTTGTAAATGTTTGTATGCATCTGTCTTTATGAATATGTAATGAATGCACTTGTGTCTTTACCATTGTGTGTTGTGTTTGTGTCTTTGTACAGTTTGATCCAGAGCTTTCCTCCAGACAGTTCGGAGTGGAGGTTTCTCGTCTGACTAATGACGAGAGGACGGTGCCGCTGGTGGTGGAGAAGCTCATCAATTACATTGAGATGCACGGCCTCTACACCGAAGGAATCTACAGAAAATCTGGCTCCACCAACAAAATTAAGGAACTCAAGCAGGGACTGGACACAGGTAATTACAGCTGTAGGAAGGTGAATGGTTTTAAAGCTGAGAAACATCAGTGGTAAATTGATTAACCCTCAGCTACGGCTGGGAAATTAACCGAAAATGTATCAAAACCATAGACTGTATGACTTTTACAGCCTCTAAACGACTTAATCTTGCTCATAAAGGTTAATTCAGTTAAACATGCGTTCGTCTACAAACTGCCGGGTCTCTGCTTCGTTCACTTTGCAGAGTGTTTTGCACCTTGGTCTGTACAGATCACAGTCATGTGGGGCGGGAATAAAATAATCGTTCATTAATCGTAATTGATGTAAAAGTTTACAATAATCTGATAATGATTTGAATTCATGTCGCCCTCCTCTAAGAGGTCCTCTGCAATTTTGGACGTATTTTAATGCTTTTCACTTTGCGTTTATCGACAACATAAAAAATGTTTACCATGCCATTGTTTGGTATCTTGTTTTTCAGCAGAAAGCTGTCCGTATGACAGTTTTTCACCCATACAATTTATAGTATAAGTATTTCAACGTGTTGGATCCCAAAACACAAAAACCTCGATCCCAATTTGGAAAATTGTGTTTTTTTAAATAGTAAAACCAGGAAAAAAAAACATGCTAAGAAAAATATTTTGCAAATGTGAAAATTACAAAAACTAACATTACATCAAGTATTATTAACTATACTCTATATATTTAAAACTGAAACTAGCAAAGAGTGTCGACACTTTGCTCTGAAGTCGAAAGCGGGGCTCCATGTGGCTTTCCTTTTACGCTGTGACTTCCTGAACCAGTCATGTGATATGATCTTGCCAGCACGATCTCCTGAGAGTTGAATGTGATGTGTCCCCGTACAGATGTGGACAGCATGAATCTGGACGACTACAACATCCACGTTATCGCGAGTGTTTTCAAACAGTGGCTGAGAGACCTGCCTAATCCTCTCATGACATTTGAGCTGTATGAGGAGTTTATACGTGCCATGGGTGAGCCAATGTGTCCAAGTTATTCAAATGCATCTCACTGTGAATTCAGTGCACAATAACAAGCTACCATTGCACACAGCAGCAGATATACGTGTTTGCTGTAACGGACAAATTGTGATTTATCTCGTGGGAATGCCTCTGCAGGTTTGCAGGATAAAAAGGAAATGATCAGAGGGGTGTATTCAGTTATTGACCAGCTAAGCAGAACTCACCTAAACACTCTGGAACGCCTCATTTTTCATCTTGTCAGGTAATAAAAAAAACAATTTTCGGATTAATACACACAACTGCTTTATTTCCTTCCTGATTCCTCTTATACTGAATTTCTGCTTTTAGGATCGCCCTGCAAGAGGACACAAACCGTATGTCAGCAAATGCCTTGGCCATAGTTTTTGCTCCCTGTATCCTGCGCTGTCCTGACACCATCGACCCTCTGCAGAGCGTCCAGGACATCAGCAAGACAACTGCGTACGAATACGTCTCATGTCTTTCAAATACATTTCTTTGCATTTGACTAAGGCCCCGTTCAGACCCGGTATTAACATCCGACCAATCACAAGTGGTCAGCTAACCTGGTGTCGTCTCTTGTGTCGCCTCTGCAGATGTGTAGAACTTATCATATATGAGCAGATGAACAAGTACAGAGTTCGACTAAAGGACATCAACACACTGGAGTTTGCTGAAAACAAAGCCAAGTGCAGACTGACCCTCATCCGACGCTCAATGGTAAGTTTAAATAATATGAATAATATGCTCTTGTCACAATCATGTAGCTGCAGTGACTCAGTTTTAAAATCGACCTGACTCGGCCAACTCCTTACACCTTCCTCATTCCCTCCCATGTAAGCAGCCTCTCCTCCCTAACCTGTCCTTTCTTTCACCCAGAGAAACCGTGATAATGTTAGATTTATGAGCATATCACGCACTATGGATTTCATTCCCTAAACCATCATCCATTGGTGATGTTGTTGTGTTGGTGATCACTGTTCTGTTTTATCTCTTCGCTCATGACGATGTTTCCGTTCGCATGAGATGTCACTGATTCCCTTCATGTTTTGTTTTATTTCTTTATGGATGAAAGTGAAGTTATTGCAATCGTGCAGTTTGTTCTGATTAGATCACAATGTGCTATGTATGTGAAGTGAACATATATTAACATATTCTATGACTTAAAATCTATAAAGGACTCATCAGATTTTTAGCCAGCGCTGCCTGAAGACATCTGTGTCTCGCTCTCAGAAGAAATCTAGGACTCGAATGTTATTTCCTTCATTTATGTCTCTGGAGAAATAATGAACAGGAAGTTCTATTTATCTGGTATCTTTTCTTTTTAGTTATTTAAGTGTTTAATAACAACATCCTGTGAATCATTGCGAATATTATATATATATTTATACGTATACTTCAGTATCAGACATTTTTACTTCTTGATATTGGTATCGGCACTGGCCTCAAAAAATGATATTGTTGCTGTTTCTCTTCAAGGACTAAAACCAGCTATGTTAAGGCAGCAAATAAGTAAATGACTTTAGTTTTAAAACTCTGCAATGAACTATAGGAACCTGGAGTCACTGATCTCTGTTCTTTTTGTTTGTCACTCTTGCTCTAAGCAGCCAAATGCATCTAAGAAGGTAAAGACTGAGTGTCATTGTAGCTGATTATTTCATGTTCAGTCACTGCATGTGTGAATGAGTGGCCTCTTGCTTAAAGTTGTGAAATGTGCTGTATATGAGAGCAAAGCTGTTTTCATCAAGTGCTGGTCAACAGAAATCTGATTTGTTTCTCAGGGAAAAAGCCACTTAAAGCGACTGAGCTACACACCCTCGCCCCCGGTTAGTCCCCGGCTGCCCTCTGTGGCCAACCCTGTGGTGGAGGAGAGCGGCGGCGAAGAGGGAGCGGACTCATTTCCTGAAATCTCCGAGCATCAGCAGGCAGCCATGCAGCAGGAGGAGATGGTGTTGATGGAGCAAATAGAAAGCCTGCAGAAAGAGAAGTAAACTGAAAATATCACCTGAACTATAAATGTTATGAGGTCGTGCAACTCTGTAACAGAACAACAACTGTTAGCATGTATTGGTACTGTTAGCTGTTTTAATCTGGATCTTGTTGGCCTCTGCAGAGAGGAGTTGACTTTCGAGATGCTGGCTCTGGAGCCCCGAGCGTCTGATGACGAGACCCTGGAGTCGGAAGCCTCTATCGGTACAGCTGACAGCTCAGAAAACCTCAACGTTGACTCTGAGGGAACCATCTCTGACTTCTCTGGTATGTCACCAAACAGGAAATCGTAATTGACAAATTTTTTTTATTTTCAAATTTTTGATCGTTTTGTTATGCAGAAGAAAAACTGGACTCATATTTGCCTTTCATTGCAGAGAGAGGTCCGGGGTTGACTTCTCCATGGCCTCGAAGGTCTGACGGGAAGAGCCCCCGGCGCCGGGTTCTGCACCGGCAGCCTGACTCGCTGGACTCCGTCGACTCCTGCTACAGTGTTTCCTCCTACTCGTCCTCATCACACTTCCACCCATCGTCCTCCTCCTCCTCCTCCACCACCCGGCGCTTTCGTTTCCACTCCAAGTCCCCCGCAAGTCCTCTCCAGGCCCAAGCCCAGTCTCTGAACGCGTCCCAAGCCTCACGGTCCGACAGCTTAGACAGCAGCCCGACAGGAGACCACGAAGGCCCGTATGACGAACGGCCCCAGTTTACCAGCAGGGGCACCTTCAATCCAGAGAAGGGCAAACAGAAACTTAGAGGAGCCAAGAATTTGACCTCACGGCACTCGAGAGACAGCGGCGGCCACGGCAGGGACCCTCCAGACATACCACAGCAGCTGGTATTGTATGGCAGTAATGAATTCATGGTATAAAGGACACTGGGACGCCAAAGCACTCCCCCTATCCAGCTCCCACATGTTCTGAATGGGAGGTGACGTATAGTGGCAACTAATCTCCACTTCTCAAAGCGCTCTTGCTTCGCCTTTCTTTATTGAAGTCTGCAAAGAAGTTGTCCCCAAGTGCCGTTTCTAGTTCTTCCACCTCCCAACGGGGGAGAGAGACGTTTGGCAGAGGGACCGGAGTGGGGCTCCTCTTCTGTACACTATACTGCCAGCCATGCTCTCACAGTGCCTTGGCAGCTCGTTACTCGGCGCCAAGAAGGAAGATGGAGAAAAGGGAATGTTGGCAAATGCGGAGGACCACTCAGCATCAGGGAATGTGACGGAGCGGGAAAGCCGGAGCCGTGTACGACAGCAGAAGAAGACGAAGAAGAAACCAGGCGTCACTGACGTTCCAGTGAATTTACAGCTCTCCATTATTAGCTGCTTTATAAGTTTACAGTTCATAACAATGAGTTTAAGCAGTGGTTGTTATTACAAGTTTATTTTCCCCCTTATTTAATACGTTTTAATGTCACAGAAAGTCTTTATAGCTTATAATATACAGGTATAAATACTGTACAAAGCCGGAACACCAGCCCCTGCTGGGTAGTTGAAATATTTATCTTTTTTTTTTTTTTTTTTTGAGAACCTTGGACAGAGAACTACAGAATTGGGCAGTGGATGATTTGTGTATGTGTGTGCGTGTGTGTGTGTGTGCATGTGCCGAGTGCTCATGCGTGACCGTGTGTACCGAGAAAACCACTTCATGTGTTTAAAGTTTGTGCTGCTTATTTCCCCTTTACAAGGGAGATACCGCCATCAAAGGGACCAAGTCAGCTGGTGTTGTTCCAGCCAAGGGGATCCCAGCTCTGTACAGAATGTTGGATGCATATTTAAATCCATGCATTCACTGCTTAACAGCCATAAAACAATTGTAATGTACAGTACAGTTCATATATGTACAGTATAGCGGACAAACGTTATTCTATTCTTGAAACCCATTGTTACTCTCCCCCACCTCCTGTCTCTGAAGTGTTTGCTCAATAGCAACCAAGCAAGAACATAAAACCACAACGTCTTCTGTCATTATTCACGAGTATCTTCAAGTTTTTTGTCATTTAAGTGTATTTTTCCATTCTGTTGAATTTTTCAGGCCTGAGTTAAAGTCGTTTACATGTTCAATAATAACATACGTGTTAAAATAGGTGATTTATTCAGCAGACATTTTGACATGTTACAGTAGAGGATAAGCACACGGTATTAAAAACATCAATGTTGACTTTGTCCTAAGAACAGAGTTAAATACCACGTGACAACGACAGGATAGAAGCAGCATTTAAAACAACTACATGTGTTAGAAGTTGTAAAGTAAACAACTTTGTAAAGAAACAAAAAACCTGAACCTGAATCGGTCAAGTCAATAATAAAATATTAAAGTTTTCCCTACTTAACTCAGCTAATGCTTAAAGCAACATAAAGGACCTCAGTATACAATTTAAAACAACTGTGGTGGAAAGAAACTAAATGTGTTTAAGACAAACATTTACTTATTGTAATCAAGTACACATTATACTTGTTTTTTCTTTACTGTAGTATTTTCTTTCAGTGCTTATGCCACCACACTTCAGAGGAAAATATTGTACTTACTACTTACCTGACTGTTACTTTGGTCCAATTTCATATACAAATAATATGATAAGATAAAATGTGAATTTTTATAATTTAACTCATTGCTGTCATAGTATTTTCTAAGATTTAAAGATTTTCAAAATATTTCTAATTAATGAGGAATCACAAAATTGAAAATTTGGATATTAAATGAACATTTCTTTAAAAACAAAAAATGTATAAATAAGATGTTTGTTTTTTCTATTTCATTTCAGCTTCTTAAATGTGCAAAATTTCTGATTTTCCATTTAATAATTCTTTTTTTTTTCCTTTAAAGGTCCAGTTTGTAAGATTAAGGTGAAAGGGAACTATTGGCAGAAATATGAAGTAGAATAATCCTCATGATGTTTTCACTAGTTCGTTTCATCTAAATTGTATGAATTGTAGTTTTCTTTACCCCAGAAAAGTACCTTTATATTTAAATACTTTATATTTACATCGAGGGGACCCTCTCTACGGAGGCCGCCATGTTCTTTACATTAGTCCAGACTGAACAAACTAAACACCTTTTGAGTTTTAATGACAATTAAAGGCTACCACAGGTTCTTTTTCATGTTTGGAAGGAGAGGGTGAGGTGAGGGGTGTTCAGCTGCAACATACAATTTCAACACTAGATATCACAACATTCTACACACTGTACCTTTAATGAAGCAGCACAAAGACATACAAACATAATCAACACATAACACACATACAGACATACTGCAGATATACAGATAAACTACACTGGTACAGAACAACAGAGCTTTTCCCTCTTGTTATAATTCACTGGAAAGGGCGGGAGTTCAATAGAAAGAAGGAAGGAAGAAAGAAATCTTTTAATGGGGTGAGTCCTGGCACAAAGCAGAGCATGTTCCAATAATGCTGTGGTTTGGACAATTTTCTATGATAACAAAAGTGCTGTTGAGCTGTCACTTTGTATTCTGGGTAATTTATGTAATTTATGGGACTTTTTTTGCCCCTCCCCCCCCCAAGATTCACAATTAGTGGATTAAGGAAAAAGAAAAGAAAGCAGCTTATTGCATAAATAAATAATTAGTTATAAAATCAAATCAAAAGGAAAAAAACCCCAAGATATTCAGTCACAGCTTTTTGTCAAATAGTAATGAGAGGCACCGTGACTATAATAGAACAATGTTGTTTATAGGCCTAATTAAAGATACGATTAGATAACAGTAAGTAATATTAAGTAAGTATGCAATATAACCTCAAGAACATATTATACATGTATAAACTACTGTGTATTAGATGAGAGTAATCAGGAAGTAGTTTTGCTTGTGATACTTGACAGATACTAGATAGTGACAGTGATACTTGCACAGTTACATTAAAGCATCACTTAACAACAGTAAGGTTTGTAGTAATGGGAGGTACCAGTGACGCGGAACCACCTTCTCCCTGTGGCGCACGCGCAGAGGCAAAGTGGCGCAGCGGCATCAGGAGCAAGGAGGAGGAGACGCGCGGTCATCCAGGAGCTGTCTCACTGTCTGTCTGTCTCTGTCTCTGTCTGTCTGTTCCCCTCACTGTCCTCCATTATGTCGGGATTCGACAGTAACCCCTTCGCGGACCCGGTGGACGTGAATCCCTTCCAGGTGAGACTGTTTCTCCGCTCCACTTCCTCCGGAGGTTCGCGTGTGTTCGTGAAGAAACCAGAAGGAAACCTGTTTGGTTGGTCGCTGGGTTTGGCCTCAGTGTTTCCTGGCTTCGGTATCTGTCCATTATGAAACATGACACGTTGAACTGCGGCTGTAAGTTTAGAGAATATGTGAGAATATCTAGTAAAAGTGCGTAAATGTGGCAGCAGAGCTGAGAACTCACCTGTCCAGGTGAGAGGAGCCTCCAGCAGGAGTCTGTTGTCTGTCGGTGGCTCCTCAGAGACTCCATTGATTTTAAACAGAGTCATGGAAACAAATTGAAAACCTGATTGAAATAACAAGATACTCTGGAAATAATCTTCATTGTCCTGGAATTAGTTTAATTGTTCTTTTCCAGGTAATGGAAACAACCTGAAAGTTGGTTCAAATGTTAAATTATCTTGGAAACATAACTACTTGTAATTTTTCAGTCATCAAAACATGTATAAAATGAATGAAATGAAATGTATTACAGTTCCTGAGTTGGTTTTTATAATATTTAAAATTTTCCACTCATGGAAACAACCTAAAAACCGATTAAAATAAGAAAATATCCTGGAAATATCTTAAATGTCCTGGAATTTGTTTAATTGTATTTTACTTTACTACTTGTACTTTTTCAGTCATTGACACAACCACCTCTAATTGAGACACCTCATCCTGAACCCAGCTTCATTAAAAAACTGTCTCTAAAAAAAACTCCTGGAAAATGTCCTGGAACATTATTTCTTCGACAGAGCTCCAGGCGATGATGTGAGCATGTGACCGTGTGTTTGTGACATAGTTACTTTGCGTTGTGTTTTCACCAAGACACAGTCTATTAATAGTTTATGTGGTTTGAGACAATGCAACACTCAGGTGATCCTTCCTGGACTCTTCTCTAGGCTGCTAACCACATTCAAATTCACTGGATCCAGATTTTTATTTGCATCTACGGCAAATTGTACACAGATTTCTTTTTCCATCATCTGCAGTTTTTTGGAAATAAAGAAACCCCGAGGAGTCATGACTCAGCACTCAAAACACCAAGTTGCATTTATGTCATTATGTTTTTTTTTTGTATTTTTTTACAGGATGCCTCAGTCACACAAGTCACCAGCGGGGCCACTGAAAAGGTCGGGGAGTTCAACCCATTCTCTGCCACTGAAATGGTCAGCTCCTCTGTTTTTAATGTAACTACTGATGTGATGGTGACAGATTAGGATTGGTCTCTGAGCGCTGGCATTTAAATACCCACCTCCCTCCTACAGAGGAGCAAGACCCCCAGAACTAAACAAGATATAAAGCTACGGTGAATAATGTGTGTGTAGTCATTTTGTGTCTCTCCGGGGTTGTTTCACATGTGTTTGTGGTTGGTATACGTCCTCTTTCCGTCTGTTTGTAGTCATGTGACAGACTTTCCACCAAGAAATATCATCAGTCATTTCAAACCAACATGTGGACAATGGATCCTCTTATCTCTTGCTGCCCTGGGCCTTTGCCTGGTAGCCCCATTCAGTAATCCCACAGTGGATGTGATATACATGTGTCCCTTCACGGAGTGATGATATATAGAAGTATTTCTTCAATTGTTTTCCAGGTAAATCACTCAGACACGACCATCCCCATCTCTTCAGGCTCCTCTCAGCCTGCCATACTACAGACCTCAGTGGAGCAGAGTGCACAAGTGAGTCTCACACACACACACACACACACACACACACACACATTTAGAAATAGAGGGAATTAAATTAGCTGGTGTGAAATCCCATTTCAGCCGTTTTATATTTCAGCTGAGAGGAACTAACCAGAGTGCATCTGTGTGGGAGCTGACTCTGGTGTTGAAAGTTAAAAACGATACAGAACATCAGGAAAATACTGATGATATTCATGATCACAATAAAATAATGATTTGACTTCAAGATAAATATACAACAATTCTTCATTTGAATGTCTAAAAACAACTTTACCTATGTAACATAGTTTGTTGACTGTTGTACTCACATTATACAAAATGTTTCCAACAACACAGAGAAATCCTCAAGTACAATACAGGGGACCTGCGGCCAGTGTAGACGACTGAGTATACAACCCAGGGCCGGTCAGCAAAACTCTCCCAAGCCTAAAGAGGATATTCATATTTATCACAATTACTATACAGCATATAACAAGGATAAAGTTTTGGTTAGTTAGGTGAATTTGGTATAGCTGTTGTGTAGTCCATGAATTTCCCCTCGCGTTGCTACGAGAAGGAAAAAAAGTGACATAATTGAACTTGGTTTTAAGAGCGCATCGCTCCCATCTCTCACCAGGCAGCTGCGACTGCTGCTCAAGCGAGCCTGGTCAAACAGCAGGAGGAGCTGGAGAGGAAGGCGGCTGAGCTGGAGCGGAAGGAGCAGGAGCTACAGAACAGGACGGCAGGCAGAACCAGCACTGGAAGTAAGTGGCTACATCTGCTTTGAGCTGTGGAGTGTGGAATATGTTGCATGTATGTAGCTGTAAGAATTGACCCTCCTCTCATAGTAATCACACTGTCAAATCTTTGTCAGATAAAGAAAACAACTGGCCGCCTCTGCCCAGTTTCTCCCCTGTGAAGCCCTGCTTCTATCAGGACTTTGAGGAGGAGATCCCTGAGGAGTACCACAGGATCTGCAAGAGAATGTACTACCTCTGGATGTGTATGTACCCCGACATGCTGTGTTCCCCCAATTCCTCCTCACATAACAAATTGGATTGTTTTTCTAAATATGAAATCAATGACATGAAACGTATTCTTGTGTTTCCCCGTTTTTTCACTATATGTGAGGATTTTCCTTTTAGCATTTAAGTTTTCTCATAATTTTCGTCGGACCCGGATCCAGTATAGCCCCATCAACTTTTCCTCCAATGCCCAAACACAACATTAATGTATATCAGACATTATTAGTGAAAGATTTATTTTAAATAAACGCCCCGAACAGCTTTGAATTCCTGTAAAACTATTCTCAGTCCAGTTCATTGATTCGCTGTGTGTGTCCACAGTCCACAGCGCCACTCTCTTCCTCAACGTGCTGGCCTGCCTGGCTTACTTCACTGTAGACTCTCAGAACGGTGTGGACTTCGGTCTGTCCATCCTCTGGTTCATCCTCTTCACCCCGGTGTCCTTCGTCTGCTGGTACAGGCCCGTCTACAGAGCCTTCAGGTACAACACTTCACTAACACCGACGATGAAGTATTTTTAAATTTACATCACGGCAGGACTGGATGTAATAATTTTATTGTTGTAACAGAAATTGTAGAAATGGGTGTACGAGCAGATGAACACCCACATTGTACAATTTTGACAAAACGTTAGAGGAAGTATAAAACTGAAAAGTGTATTTTTGGTTATGGGGAAACTTGTGGAAAAACAACATTAAAACCTGCACTGGATTCAAAATACTTTGAAAAATAAGAGTAATATCTGCAAAATAAAGTTTCTTTAAGGGTTCTCCAGACTATTATATTTACTTAAACTTTTCCATTAAGAGCAATATCTAATGGCCTGACCACAAACAAACCTCTGAAATACTGAATAACAATAATATGTCCGTCCTTCTGTCCGTCTGTTTTCTTCTCTAGGTCCGACAGCTCCTTCAGCTTCTTTTTCTTCTTTTTCGTCTTCTTCTTCCAAGTGGCGGTGTACATCATCCAAACCGTGGGGATCCCCCGGTGGGGAAACAGGTCAGTGGAAACGTCTTGAACTGAATATTCATCATCTGCATGTGGGTCAAAGTCTGAAGGTGTGGTGTTGTGTGCATGAGGTACTTCATAGATAACAGAAGAAGGAGTTTTTGTATTCTACTGTGGGTGTACTCATTCTACATGTGGGTGTGTGTATGTGTTTGTATGTGTATTCTTGCCCTGTATCTCCTCTCTTGCATCTCTTTGACAGATTCCTGCTGCCCTAACTTGTCTGGGTTGCTGCTTTGTAAGTGTGTGGAACTTTTCTCTGTGGGTTTCTTTTCAATATTATATAATATACCAAGCTTTTCTTTATTCCATCATGTACTTTTTCAAACTTCATGCTTTTCCATTGGTCTCTGGGGCAGTTTAAGATGTTGTGTCATCTCTTTCAATCAGTAACGTTCATACTGTTTTTTTAAATGGCTAAAATACACTCGCTGTAGATCATTTCTGAACTGACACGTGGTTATTTGTGTGAAATGTGTGTCTCTGTTGTTCTGCAGTGGATGGATCGCATCAATCAGCATGATCGGCTCCAATTTGGCTGTGGCCGTGGTCATGATGGTGGTCGCTGGTTTTTTCACAGTAAACTCTGTCCTGGCCGTCATCCTACTGAAAATGGTATGATCATGTAAAGGTTTTACAACTTCTCTTATCATTTAAATATTACAAGTTCATTATGCTCTTGGATTCTGAGTTGGTAACAGTATTGATCACGATATCAACGTAAATTGTGAGAAATGTTAATACCGTCTTATTGTCCAGTCCTCTGTTACAGAACACTAATTTTAAGTAAATTGCTGTCTAAACAAAAATTGGTTCAACCTGCCTGAAATAGAAAGTCAGACCTGGTGCAACATGCATTTGTAAATAAGGGTATTTACACTGTGGCTTCATGTTGTTTATTTTAGCTGAGCGAGGCTGCGAACAGATCAAAGAGGGAAACATAACAAGAGAAACTAAAAATGGTAGAGACAAAAAAAAAAGACTGAGCTGCTGCAATGAGAAGAGGGAATACAATGATTTAGAATCTGCTTAATGGATCTAAAGTTTCAGAAATACTCACCGCAGGTCAGAGCGCTGAGTCTGAAAATGATTCATCTGGAAAGAATCAACCAAAGCTTGGCACTGTTCAGTAGATGGAGATTCAGACAAGGGCAGATAAATGGGAGATGGAAAAATGTCTCCATGAAGGACACTAACACTGTGGTCAGTGTATTGAGTCTTGATGTCACTGTAACTGCGAGTGTGTGTGTGGACCATGTTGTCCTTCATGGTATTGCTCTGCTCACCTGCTGACAACCATGACCACAACTTGGAATCAGAAGGCACTTGGCAGTAGGTCAGCAGAACCTACGCAATCCTCGAAAACAAATGTTTATTTTATGTATGTATGTATGTATAAATGTATGTTTTAATTTTAATTGCGAAGGAAAAAAAGTTAAATAGGAAAAACTTTTAAAACTGCCCCAAAGTAAAATATCATGCAATATTATCAAATCCTTTTGGGAACCAGAATCTTGACTCTACAGTGTCTAAGCGACTTGCATGTTCCTTAAAATAGTGTGAGCTAACAAACATGTCATTAACATATACGAGTGCAGTATCTGTTCTAAACCTGCCTGTTTGGATCGGGCTGTTTGTTTGGTCTGTGGGGAGGCTGGTTGCAAGTAAAGACCTTCAGCGAGGCTCAGTCCACAGAACTGTGGCTGCTCCACCGCGGCTGCACAGAGAGCTGCTCACCCGTTACTGTTATTGTGCACGCTCCTATTGTCATGAACACGTTGATTGACGTCACTTACGTTTATGAGTCTCAGCCGCTACTGCTGCAGACCACTGGCTGCTTTTTTTTAGAAGTTTATGAATAGTAAACGTATCTGTCTCTAAATTGCACCAAATTAACCACTGCACTTCATTGGGCCATTAAAAATAAACACATCGCAAGTGTGAAGCTGATGAGATGAACGGTTCTTAAGATGTGTGAGCCACATACAGACGCACAGACTTATTATTATTATTCACTTATTAGATAGAAATGAGTTAATGTCTGATGTGAGTTATAAACCTGTCATTGCCCTAATCTTTGTTTCCCATGATCCCCAGGTCCACTCTAAGTACAGAAGGACAGGAGCCAGCTTCTCCAAGGCTCAGCAGGAGTTCTCCCAAGGAGTCCTGACAAACAGAAACATCCAGACGGCTGCAGCCGGTGCTGCCACGTCTGCTGCACAGGGAGCCTTTGGCTCTGGGTAGTCTCTTCTCTGACTAACTTACCAGACTAGCCATGTCCCAACTTTCTTCAGTGGGTTTATGTGATAGGGGGCTGATGATTTAATGACAAGGCTAATGAGGGGGTCCACTTTCTCCACTTACAAACTTTTGAAGACGCTGTGGATAATACAGAAGAGAAGTGAGAGGTTTTGCACATACATGTAGTGTAACTGAAGTCTCTCATCAGTTCATCACATGTTCAAACTTAATGCTGTCAAAGTTCCGTTCATTCAGGGAGAAGTAGGAAGTTGCAAATTTTATATGAAGCTGAATAAAATCCTAAAAAGGAGGCAGAGTGGATATGACACATTTTATTGGCAGCAAGTCATTTCAGTGTAACTCCTGGAATCCATACAACATATCAGACTGTCTATGATGCAACACTGAACAAGGCCGGGGTTTAGTGTAAAGTGCAATTAGTGAAATCCTTTGTTTTTTCCAATCTGTTCCTGTTATAATAAGTTTCTAAGGCCTCAAATATAAACACAGCACATAAGGTTTGGATTATTTAAAAAGTAAATTTGACATGAGAATGTTTTAGCATCAGTGATGATACACATAATATATGTATACATGTTGTTGTCATTACAACATCATGCAGTGCCTTACAGGGCATTCAGTCTATCACCACCTTACCTTTTCTCTTTCACTGGCTGCCTTCAAAGATGAGCATGTTGCGTCCTGTTACATGTTCCACTACTGATGAACGCAGAACTTTTTTAATGTGTATAATGTTGTATTGGATAAGCTTGTGATTAATGAAGGTGAAGGGGATGAAGGTTTTTCTTACTACTGTTTTGATCAGCTTTAGATGAAGTGAGACAAAAAGCTCCTCTGGGTGCAAATGAAGAAGCGGTTTGACTTTTAATTCATGTTGAGTTGTTAGAGACAACGTTTTTGGTCATAGATCTATGCTGCGATTTATATGAGAGACATGATGCAAGTTTATTCATTTAAAGTTACTAACATAGTATAGATATTAGACGTAATTACTAAGAAAGCACATTAATGAGCAAGAAGAGTACAAATTGATTATCCATTGTATCTGTAGTGATTATTCTGCAAACAAAGGTCATGTGTTACTGATTAGTCACAGATTTTATTTTTTACAGTAACAGTGAATCACTTTGTTTAGGTTTGTCTTTTGGGCCTTTACACAGACGTAACCTACCAGTTTCTGTGTGTGGATTTAAGGCTGTTTGGTATTAGTGTGTTTTTGTCTGATTTTGTTTGTCTTCATTAAGAATTTTGTTGAACGGTGAGGTTTCCCCTTCATGATCAATCGTGTAATAATGAGTGTTGTACATATCGGTGACTTATTTAAGACAAATTTCCTGGAGGTGTAATTGTTGGCTTCTCAGTCTTAACATTTAATAAACTGTTATTTTTTCTCTTGCTTTGGAAAATTGGATCATGTTTAGCATAACCAGTGGAGTTAAGATGTGTTCATATTGTAAATTCCAAATGTCTTTGCTGAATGTAAACGTAGACTCTTGATTAAGCTGTTGAGAAAGTGAAGCTTCATAATGAGGTTGTATTAACTGAGTCAATTGGACAGTTTTTCTCTTTTGTTATCAGATTCTCATTTCTGGAAGATGTTCTGGGATCAGAGCTTCAGATGCATTCTGGTCATAGAATGTAGAATTTAGTGACATCTAGTGGTGGTGAGGCATGTTGCAGCTGAATGCCCCTCACCTCACCCTCCCCTTCCAGATATGAGAGAGAACCTGTGTAAATATAAGCAACAGTTCGTACAAATTTAGATGATTAAACACTAGTAAAACAATTCACTATGTAATTTTATATTCAATTTCTGCCACTAGATCCCTTTTATCAAATCCTACACACTGAACCTTTAATACTAAGACAAGCTAAAATACGATAATCCTTTATTAGTCCCATAATGTGATCATTTGCAATATTACAGCAGCAAGAGTCAAAAATAGGCATCAAGTAATAAATAACATGCAAATACATAAGGGTAAGAATAATAAGTCTGAGGAATATAAAAAAAATATATGAATGGAGTAAAAACTAATACATAAAGTGTAAACACAAGAAAAAAGTATGTACAGTGAATGTTTTGCACATGAACCACAGTAGTGCATGTCAGTATTGTACTAAAACTTTATTGTAAGTGAGAATATACTGAATGTTTAATATGATTTTATCCAAAAACACAAAAAAAACTAAAATACCGATTCTGGACGGTCAACAGTGACGTGACGTCACTGCCCGCCTCCGCCTCACGTCCGCGTTCCACAGGCGTCTCCATGGCAACAGCTTCTTGTGTCGCTCATCCCAAGATGGCGGACCAGGAGGAGGCGGCGGCGGCGGCGGTGAGTGTGGAGCAGAAGCTTCTCGTCCTCTTGCTCGGTTATCGCACCAGGAAACCTGCCTCCACGGGAAGCGACGCTGTGACACTCCCGTGACTGGACGCGTCGCAGTTTTCTAGCGCAGCCGTCGTACACCGTTTGTTATTTGAGCGCCAGCTAGCCTGCCTGGCTAACGCACGCAAAGTCGGAGCTAAGTTGATTAAGCTAAATGGTAACTTGGACTCTTGTCACTAATCCCCGGTTCTTCCGAGAGCTAACAGCTAACAGCTAACAGCTCAGGAGCGATAACAACAGGAATACAGGAGGTGACACATTAAAGTGTCGTGACGCGGATCATCGTCAACACTCGTTTTATGCTGTGATAGTTTTTCACAGTTCAGTTTCCACAGCAGCGGATCTGCGTTTTAAAACAAGCCTGAGTAGGAAGTGACTGTAGCACAGAATGTAAACACACTGTTCTAACAGAGACTGAGTCAGACATGGATCCACACAAAACATCAGCACGTGTGCGTGACTGCTGGCAGCTCCGTTTAAGATGAGGTGATGTCAACTTATAAATGTTCCTGTTCAACTGGTTGCGGATCGGACAGAAGTACATTGACTCAAGTAGTGTACCTTAAAACGTGTCGTGGAACATGTTCTTGAGTTTTTACTAAATGAGTTTTGATTGAAAAGCCACTGTGTTTAAAATTTGGCATCTGTGCAAATAGCAAACAGAATTATTTTTCTGAAACTTCTGATTTGTAATGCAAAGTAGTACAAGTCAAATGTGTACATTGTGATCATTAGAAATGTATTGGCTGCATAGAAGTAAAACTTTGCGTAGAAAGGAACATTTAATATGAATCGTCCTGTCGTCACCATTATGCAACTGGTTCCCTGAGTAAGACATAAAGGACAAACAATGGTAGAATATTCACAGGCTCAGATAGAGTCTAACTGAAAAAGGATTTTTTTTACAATTGTATTCAAACACATAGTCACAGTAAGTTTCAGTCAGTCTTAACTTTGACCTTCAGCTTCTTATCAGACAGAAGAAACAAACTCTCTGAGTGCGTAAATATATTTGTGTGCGGCTGCTCATAAGAAAAGCTGATACACCGTACAGTGTATTTCATTATGTATCCCAGTGTTGGCTTTCACCCGTTCATTCGTCTGTGCTGTGTTTGTTTTATTTCAGCTGCCAGTTTCTACTGAAGCCAAGAAACGACGGGCTCCTAAAGGTACAGCAGAGATCACACTTGCAAGTCATCTTAAAACGCAGGTTTTCAAACAAGACTGTCGTTTTACAACACCCATTACTTTGTTGTTAATTTCTGAGGATTCGTCTGTAACTGTTAAAAGGAGAATAATAGAGTGGGTTTGGAACTAATTGTCCTGCAGAGGTCACCCTCACCCTTCTATCAACTCTTTTCAAAAGGATTTAGTTGTTTGTGCAGAATGTTACTGAGCCATGTTTCACACATGTCTCATTGAGGATGTTGTACCATCATAATTATGGCTTCATTAGCGAGTCGATGTTGTTGCTTATGGATTAAGTGTTCTGAATTGTTTTAAAATGTTTTGTAATTATCATCATCGCTGCTTAGCACACAAGTCCAATAGGAGCAATGAAGTACATGCTACAAGCCCTTAATGTGGTGAACGTAGAATAATTTGAGGAGACAAATCAAATAAGTACATGATTGTGAGGTGAGGAACAGTACTTTATAAGTGAAGCACTAAAGCACGCTCAATAATTAAGTAAAACATTATTTTATTATTTTATTTAGCTTTTATTATAATTTCAATGCTACTGACTTTTATATGATGATAACAGAAAATAACTTTAAGAGTATTATATTTAGAATAACCATAGAATACAATACAAGAGTTTAGAAAGGATGGAAGAGATGTTACACACCTACATGTGCACAAACATCAGAACAAAAGAGCTTAGATAACTTTAAAAATATCAAATGTGTTAACTCAATTTTCAAAAGCAAGTCTGAGTTAAAATACAGTGGCCACCAGGTCAATGAACTTCATAGGTTCTTTTGAGAAAACTGTGACTTAATCATGCCTCATAAATAAATCAAATTGATCCAAAATCTTGTAATATTAGCAAGAAGGGAACCATCAAAAAAGCCATAAACCAGAGTAAAAACTATTTAGTTCATAGTCATTCAGTAATTACTATTGTGAAATGCAATTAGGGTTATATAATAAACACGCAAAACTAATTATAGCATGAACAACAAATTTAATTTCTCAGTACAGTCACTGCATTGTTAGCGGTTAATACCCAGAAAATACTCAAATCTGTTTCTTTTTAAACAGCAAAAAAAGAAAGAAAGAGAGAAAAGAAACGGCTATGGCATAAAGTCATTCCACCTGTTTCCAGAACATCATGCTTTAGTCAAATTCCTTGGAGGAATAAGTGTTGGGGCGGCAGAATATGAGGCCCAATAACTCAGCAATCCAAGGGTGTTTGAAGTTTTGTGTGGTAAAAATTTCCAAAATTATTTTCATCGGATTTTTCATTACACTCTCCCCATGTGTCTTTTGATCTCAGCTTGCCTCGTCTCTGCTCTTATCCCCTTTCAACAGATGGTTGAAGCACATGGAAGGCAAATCTGTCTTAGCATTAGCCAGATCAAATATAACAATGAGAAAATTCCTCCATGTTTGGGATGAAGTTTTTAAAAGGACTGTATTTAGGAGACCTCATGCTGGGCTCTTCTTCCTCGCTCCTTCTCTACCCTCCTTTCATACAGTGGTTGCAGGAATACATGTCACACACATGTATGCCATCTCTCCTCTCCACATACGCCCGCTTTGTGCGTGTGGACACTGGAGCACCGCAGGGCCACAGCTGAAACCCAGAGACAAGAATATTATTGCTTTCTCAGCAGGAAGAAAGCGGATTAGGTCGCCACAAATAGGGCCGCTCCGTATCTTGACGAGGCAAACGTGTGAAGGCCATGCAGCCTCACACTCGGCGATGGAGAGGATTTCTGTGAAGTAACTGGAAGAGGCTCCGGCTCTCACAGCAAATCAACAGAGCGCTTGAAGCACTGACAGATAAAAACAGAAGGGAGCTTTAGTGTAATTCGCTCTGTATTTCTATACAGACGGTTCATTAATGATATCCCCCAGTGTCAGTGGCAGACTCAAAGCCTAGCACTTCGCTTTACATCACACCCAATCCTATTTTTAGCGTCGGAGGAAGGTAGAAGGTGCAGGATAACAGGATTACTGGAATCAAACTCACTCGAATTGTAATTATGTTTGCTTCCTTTTGAAATGAAATGAAACGTCGTTCTCTACTGGGAAGACGACTTGGAGCATTGTGGTTTGGTTCTTGAGGTTACCCTCTCTAAAGCTGGCTTTGCATTGTGCTGCTCATTCCTGCAGCCTCCCTCTTTCACTCAGCGTCTACACGCTCTCTGTTCTGTCACAAGCACCTGGCTCGCAGGAGACATAGTTGCCCTGGCAACGGGAAAAATATCTCAACCTGCCGAGACATTAAAAGAGAAAGAAAAAAGGCCGTGTTTGTAAGGAAAAACTTACTTACAAGGTGACATTTACAGCAAGGCTGGTGAATTGATTACAGTTAAGCCCGGGGTTTTGGTTGAAGTGTTAACATCTATGTTAACTGTCAGATCAAAGAGTTGCTAGTGACTGTGGAGGGAGGGCTCTTTGAGGATTATTTATTCGGCTGTCAAATTAAAAAAAGACTGTATAAATTTAAAAAATAGTCCAAATAGACAGACTGAGTCGCCTGCTCGTAATCCAACACTCTCTAACAAGCTGCGTTTTTCAGTGTGTCTGGTGAATTGGCTTAAATTTAGCCTGTGGATTTAGGTTGAAATGTTACATCTGTGTTAACTGTCAGTTCAGAGATTTACTAATGACGGAGAAGGGAGGGCACTTTCAGGATTAATCATTCACTTATACAAAATAAGACATAATCTGAGCAGTAAAGGGTAATAAGCTCAAAAAGTTTTACAGATTTTTTATTATGTTCTTCCACACAGCTCCAGAGCTTCCCATTGTGGAGAGGAGGAACTGGCTAATCCACCAGCACT